CGCGCCGGCCCCGGGGCCGGCGCGGCTGCGGGTGTCACGCTCAGCCGGTGCTCCCGCGTCAGGTGCTCCGAGGGTGCACGGCTGCCCCGCGAGAACCACTCCCTGCCGCCCAACCTGCGCCTCAGCGACCTGGTGCAGGGGCCTGGAGGTGAGCCCCGGGGACGCTGCCCCAGACATGGCACCCAACAGGTGCTGGTGGCATGCTCCGTGGGGACAGCTGCCCCCTGCGCAGGGGGCTCTGGGCAAGGGCTGGGACGTCTCTTGCTCTAACCCCCTTCCCTCCCTTCCCTTCCTTCCCTTCCCTACAGCCAACCCCAGAGATGTGGGAGCTGGTGCCCCAGCAGAGGAGAGTGCCCAGACAGAGCTAGAGAACTCCCTGGTGCTCAGCAACCGTGGTGAGGGGCGCTTTGGTGGGCGAGCAGCCTTGGAAGCTGTGCTGCAGATGCGCTGACCCACAGCTGCTCCAGAAGGCTACGGCTATCCTTGTCTTTGCCCTGCAGGTTTCATCTGGTTCCCAATGGGTGGCTACATTTACAAAGTGTCCAGCACCAGCAGCGATGAGATCTGGCTGTGAGATGTTGGCATGACACTTGTGAGCCTGGGTTAACCCTCTCCAGGGAAGTCTATCAGCTCGCAGCACTGCAGCCCCTTCCCAAGCCACTGTTCCCATCAGACCCTTCCATGATCCCAGCCCGCAACCAGACTCCCTCCATGATGTGGGCCAGCACTCCAGGTGGGACACGAGCAATACTGCAAGCCTCTGAAACCTCCGCGTCTTCCTCACTCACCACTCTGGTGGTACCTGTCTTTCTTGGCTCTGGCCTGCCAGGAGCCCAGCTGTTCTCGCTCAGGACCAACAGTGCAGACTAGCTCTGGTGAGCCTGGGCCGGGGAGCAATCGCGCTGGGGGAGTGGAGTCCTTGGGGGAGAGCGGGCGGGCATGCAGGGCACGGGTGTCCTGCAGGGCCCCTGGCAGAGCACATTCCCCTCCCAGACCCAAGGGGCTTTGGCTTCTCTGAGGCCTGGGGACTTGCTAATGCTGAGGATTCCTAAAATCCCTTCTGATCTTGTTATTTTTGTCCAGAGGCAAATACCTGACTTAGTATTTTGTGCGCCTGTCAATTTGGCTGCCATTGGGCAGAACTAGGCTTTAATTGCCCAGATCCCCTGTATTCCAAAATACTGAGAATCAGCTACTATCTTGGGAAGTACAGGCTGGGCACCCAGTGTTTTGGGGAGGTGTCATCTCAGGGAGAAAGGGACTGTTCTACCTCCTTTGGGCTGGGATGGACAAGAGCACCTGAGAACAGGGTAGTAGCAGAAATCCCAGCTGCATGCAGGGTGTTCCTGTTCCACGCTGCCCTTGCAGTAGGAAAAACATGGCTTTGGTCACGTGAGAAGAGATAGAAATACTGCGATGGCTCCCTGGTGCTGCTCCGGTATTGGTGAAGAAGAGGTGCAGCAGGTGATGTACCAATAACCCCAGCGTTAACACCAAAGGAGCCAGGTCAGCTTTCTGTAAAGGGTAGCACCTCTGGGAATGGCACTTTGGGGACGTGAATCTCTGCCCTGCCTCAGACGCTCATATGCAGCTACAAGCAGGTACTAGCAGTATGGGAGCACCTGGGACCTGCCCCTCGACATTGCATAGCCAAGTCCTGAGAGAAACCAGCCCCCTAGCCGCCACTGCTGCTCCGGGAGGCTGCTACCCCCCCTGGGCTGCTCTCGTGTCCCAGCC